AGAAGCAGCATAGCTGTGAGCTGCTGAAGACAGGAATGTTTTTGACAGGAAGCCCATGCTGGCGTATTTTGAAGACTTGCCAAAGGCTGCACTAATCTCTCTTAGTTATACATCCCAGTTACCACAGACTGCAGTACAGTGTCCAAAGAACACTCTGTCTCCGTGGTTCTCAACCTATTTACCGTTGTGGGGCACATCCAATAGTATGGTCCTGAGGGTGTCACAAGGCTGCAAGTAGCCTGTGGGCTACAGCCTGAGAACCACTGCTCTAACTGAAAGGGAGAATGAACTCACGAATGAACTGCTTAAGTATCAGAATCAGGAGTAGAAGTAAGGAGTTTTTGGCTCCCATTTATTCCTATGTTCAAACCCAACTGTCTCTTAAAAGTAGGTCTTGTTGAGGACTTGGAAGAAAGAGCTAAGTCAATACACATAATGTGTCTCTGAATAATTAGCCAATGTGGGACGGGGAAAATGTCTAACAAAAGAGAAAGCTTAGTACAGGTTGCTCTCTTGTCTAGCACCCTCTGGTCTGGCAACATCCACGGTCTGGCATGATTTTAGCTAGCCGGATGTCCACTAATCATGGGTGTGGCCAAGTTACTCCCAGTCCCATAAAATTTGTTTAAAGTCACCAGTCCCACGTTTCAGTGATCTGTGCTGTTATAGCTCTAATTTATCCCTAAATAACTTCTGAGAGCCCAGTAAGCAGCAGAAGTGTTAGTAATGCTGCTAGAAAATATTGACCTCCCATGGTTCGGCAAATTCTCTGGTTTGGCACCAGCCAGGTCCCAAGAGTGCCGGATGAGAAGTTCAACCTGTACTTTCAGTTTGATAGATTTGAGTTTCTTCCATTAGGAAAGCACTAGTTTAATCTGAAAAGATAGGGATTTTTAATTAAAGATACAACATTGCACCCTCCACTGAGCACTACTTAATGGCAAGTTACTTGCACAGCATATACCTGCAAAAACTAATTCATATTGTTCCTCATCATGTTTCTTAGCTTGGATTTACTGTTAATGTTGATTTCATTATTGTAAGAAACAGTTCCTCCTCCTTCACTGCTTTCTAATCCTTCAACTTGTCATCATTTTCTCTTATCTTAATGTCAAGCAGAATATATGTTCACTTTGCTATAGGATTTTCCCCAACAGAACCCAGCCAATGTTAGCCACTGATTAGGCAGACTGTGCCGGTTCAGTCATTAAGAAAACCTCTTTGGATTTGCTTTGCCCTCAGAGGGTCCCCCTTGGCTATCAGGCTAAAGATTATAAACCGCGGGTTTCTCATTCCAATCAGTTTAGTCAGTAGTCAGCCCTGTTTATGCTGCAGCAGAAAACAAGCAGTTGAAGACAATGGCTGCAAAAGCACCTAAATTATTTTAATCCCATGCAAATTTTGTGAGTGTTAATGAAATATCATTCAATTATGCTGCTGTTAGTTGCTAATCAGCATGCAATGGCTGGTGAGTTGGTATTCAGAGTTTGTGGGGTTCATGGGAAAGCAGGTACAGAAGAGGCTGTGCCTACCAAGTCTAATTTGCTCAGTTGTGTGCAGAAGCTCAGCATTGGCTTCCTTCCATTTGATTTGACAGTCTCATGCTGTTTTATAGAATTTTAGCTAAGGAGAGGAAGGAAAATCCCTGCAGAGGATGACCCCTTGCTAGGAATGCAATGTGCCAGCAGTGAGCTGGGCAATGACAAAAAATGGAACCCAGTCTCCTGTCATTTGCTCTCACCTAGCTACAAAGAGCAGAATTCACCCTGTTACAAATACAATCCCAAGAACTTAAGCTGATGTCAACCCAGAAAACATAATGATGGAAACTCTGCTGGACAGCTACATTTTGGCATTGAAAGTAGCCACAGCTCTACCTCTGGGAAAGACGGGGGACAGCACAGGCTCAAAAATGGGTGACACAGTCAGAATAAGGTGTGTGGTGAGGCTGACTAGAGAGAGCACTATCTTGAGCGGCTCTCTTCTGAAGCTCCCACTGGCAAAGCTTATAGGGAACCTCAGGTAAAACTGTATGTCTGCAGTTCGCAGACACAGGAAAGAACCAGGGTTATTGTCTTTTCTTCCAAAGGGTGAGTTTTCTCTCATTAGCCATGAGCTTTGCTGGAACAGGGACATTCTGAGGGGTTGTATTTTACATCTCCCTGTATCAGTTTTACTGCGAATCAGGCTTAAAGCTGCTCACAAACACCATCCCCTCCTTGCCACCCAGACACAGCTGCTAAAATTAAGGGGGGAAATGGCAACTAATCTTTAAACATAACAGATTTTGGCTTGATGAGAGTGGAAGACATTTCTGATGCATCTTGTCACTCCCTTGATTAGCAAGAATATTTAACATTTCAATGACTGAAATAGCAGCAATCATTCTCCTGTAAGGAAGGCAGTGCATTACCATAAGTCAAAGGACACTGTCTGAAGACAGCACTTAGAAATATATTTGTTAAACAAGCCATTTCTGTTTCAGAAAACAACCACACCAAACACACAGACCCAAACAAAACCAAAATAAGCATGCATTTGCAAAGGCTTACAAAAGTGATTGGTCATTTTGGGTGACCCAAAGCTTAGGTGCCCAACTGGAGATGCCTTAAAAAAGTTCCCAAGTTCGGCATTTCAGAGATTGCTGAACAACTGCTCTCTGAATAACAGGCCCCCTTTTTGTCTCAGGCAGGGCACCTAAATGTGGAGTAACCCCAAATCACAGGTCACTTGAAAATCTTGCCCTTTTTTCCCTGTCACTTCTGAAAATTTTGAACAGATATCAGGGAATTGTTTCAAAGTATGAATAACCCATTATTGGGGCCTCAACTGTCCTGAGACGATAAAGATACATTTTAGAGTGTGTAGAATATCTGGTAAGGTAGATCCTTAAAGCCAAGATGAGATAGGAGCTGCATTAAGCTGAAAGAAAGAGCCACATTTATCCCCTTGTTTTGCTGCAGATATGGCCTTCTATTATTTAATATGAAATGCAGGGCCTGGACTTAGGCTGCAGTCTCTAAACTCACTCGTGTTTTGTAATATTTCTTATGACTTCCGAGCACCTTGGTACATGGAGACTGATGCTCACTCTGTCTGCAAAATTAGCTAGTATGGGACTTACAAGGCAGCAGTTCTACTGGTTTCTCCAGAGGGATTTCAGAGATGCGTGCTATGGAATTGCAGGATGCCAGTGTATGCACAGCAAAGGGAAAAATGTCCTCATGGCAAAAAGGAAAGGTCAATCACGGAGTCCACGAACCAGTAAAGAGACTACTCGTGTATGAATAGTTTGCACAATATGAGATGCACAGGAGATCTTGTCTCCTAAGCACAGATGGCAGATACCCATTGGTCATAACTGGAAAAGCCACCTTTTCCAAATTCATAAATAAATAAGTCTCACATGGTGCTAAACATGGTCCAAGAACAGCAGATACACCTAATGTGAACAGACATTCCTTTTCTCACTGTTCATGCAGCACCACAAGGTCCCTTCCACACTGTTCCCTAAACCCTTCCTATCCCAGTTTGCCAGGCAACCCTCCTCTCTCCAGTCTGACAACTCACTACTCCCACAAGGCCCATAAATGCTAATCCCAGACAGTGAAAGCTGTCAGCACACCATTATAAAAAGCTCCAAGGACCATATTCTGTCACTCTTACTCACATTGACCAGTGTTTTACTCTGAAAGCAGCCTTACTGATTCCCGTGAGACAATGGGGGAAGTGAAGAGAGAGTAAGAGCGGCAGAATCAGATCTTGAATTAGCTCTCCCTGTGCATACTGGTATTATTTAAGATGCAAGCTTATCAGAGCCAGGACAGTTTCTCCTTTCTGTCTTATATTGTTAAAATGCCTCGCAAGCTGCTAGCTCTTAAAGAACTGATAATAAATACATGAGTAAACAAATAATAGCATGATCATAGTGACAGAAGAGGGGGTTTTTTAGAATCTTTTTTTGTACACCGACATAATCTTATTAGCTTCAGTGGGGTAGCCGAGTTAGTCTGTACAGGATAAACTTAAAAAACAACAAATAGTCTGATAGCACTTTAAAGACTAACAAAATATGTAGATGGTATCATGAGCTTTCGTGGGCACAGCCCATTTCTTCAGATGACCGGAGTGTTGGATGTCCAGAACCAAAAATAAGGAAGAAGGGGGGAAGGGAGGAAGAGAAAAAAAATGGGGGGCGGGAAGAGGCAGGGGTTGTTCAGTAATTTCTATCTTACGGTCAATATGTATCAGTGTTTTTTAAAAATATCAGTAACATTTTTCAAAGTACCCAATGCTCATTTTCAAATGATTGACTTAAAGCCAAGTTTTTAAAAGGTATTTAGGCACCTTGATTTTAATAGGAGTTAGGCACCTAAACACCTTTAAAAATTTGAGCCTGAGGCACGTAGTAGTCAATGTCTCAATTAAAGTCACTGAGACTAAGGCTCTTAAATGCCTAAGTCACTCAGTTCGGAAAATGTTCCTCCAAGTTACTGTTTTGACAAACAGTGATCAACATAGAATTCATACACAGAAAAAAGCAAGCTTTATGGATTATTTTCCCCCTTCCAAAACATATACAGAAAACACAGCAAAGCAGAACATATACAGACACTTTTAAACAAAACCAAATCAACCATGAACTAAAATGTCTATCAAAGTGAAAGAATGTATGTGTATGTTGGGACTTTGAAAGAAGTTCCTGCCTGTCAGAATGGAGCGTAGGCTGAACCATCTTCAAGAGGGCTAGTTTATTTTTTTGGTCAGCGCTGAGGAAAAGGTTAACAGTAGCCTCAAAGACTGTTCCCACCTGTTACTAAATGGGTCTTTGGTTACACATAATACATGAATGCAGAAGCCAATATGTTGTTACATTTCTGAAATAAAGCATTGTTAGGAATAAACTATTCCAGACTGAAACAGAGAAAGAGATGGTAATTGTGGAATTAATCATGTCGGCTGCTGTCGGAGAGAGTAGAGGCTCCCAAGCAAGAACTTACCTGTTCCAGGTAGCGTTGGAGCAGGCCCGTCGCTGCTGGGTCCCCCGCTCATCCAAGGCTGCCTGCTCTCTCTTGCCCAGATCACTGAGGCTGGGCGAACTCATGAACTTCAACCTGCGAAGAGTCCTCATGGTCAAATGTGTGTTTGTGCGTGGCAGCTACAGATACACCATCCTTTTTACACACACACACACGCAGCTGGAGCAGCAGCAGCAGCAGCAATACGAGCAGTTCTCTCCGTTTGTTGTTCAAAAAAGAAACTTAAAAAAAAAAGAAGAGAGAACCAGTCTCTAGAGAGCACACCTCTGCCAGCAAGAAAACAAACCTTTAATCAGATCAACTGTGACGTCATAAACTGTGGTTAATAATTTCTCCAGTCTTTTAAAAAAATAAAAACCAAACTTCTCACTGTTGCTTTAACAGTTTGCTGGGGCCCCTTTGAACCAGCAGCTGCCCAAAGTGAAAAGATTTCCCCTTTCCCCTGCTCCTGTGCACCAAAAATGAGGAATCTCATTCAATATGCTGCAAGCTCCACCTGTCATGGGAATTGCTTCTTTCCTCAATGATCTGGTTTTGAGGGTTTTTTCCCCACCCCCTTTTTCTTCACTCATAACTGGAAATGAAATCAGAGGGCAACGGAAAAAAACAAAAAACCAACCACCAATACTGACGCACCAAGACTTTATTGGAAAGTTTCATAACTGCCTATGTCCCACCACGTTAGAAATACTTACACTCAGGCACACATTCATGTACACACATGCAGTACAAACCTAGTGTTTGCCTCAGAGGCTGTTTAAACTGAAAGTGTCTGATAAGCCACAAGAGGGAGAGAAAGAAAGAAAGAAAGAAAGAAAGAAAGAAAGAAAGAAAGAAAGAAAGAAAGAAAGAAAGAAAGAAAGAAAGAAAGAAAGAAAGAAAGAAAGAAAGAAAGAAAGAAAGAAAGAAAGAAAGAAAGAAAGAAAGAAAGAAAGAAAGAAAGAAAGAAAGAAAGAAAGAAAGAAAGAAAGAAAGAAAGAAAGAAAGAAAGAACACACCATTAAGTAGAAGCTGGTTCTTTTATTTTGAGGAACTTCAGAGGTTAAATAGAGTGAATAAGAAGGTTAACTATTTGGGATTTTTAAATTTTTTTAAACTGAAATAACAGCTTCACTATCCCCGGCATATCTAGGCTCAACAAAAGCCGCAGCTCAGTTATCTTGTTAACTTCAAAGAGAAGAACGTCCTGCTCTCTCTGATGCTGCAATATTAGTAAAAATTATTCGTTGGTGGAAGAGTCTAGCCAATGTATGACTTGATATTGCACCAAGATTTTGTTTCATATCACGAGGTATTTTTAATATAAGCACTGACCTATGTTTGTAACCAATTTCCTAAAAAAGGTTAGACATGCATCAGGTGAGCATTAGACAACTCTTGGGGCCATTTTCATGTAAGTAACAGATTACTCTGCAAACAGCCCAATTTAAACGAAAAGGACTTCTTGCAGGATATGATACTATTCAGAACATGAATAAAACTTTCTTGTGGAATAAAATTGCACAGAACATTTATAATTATTAGGGATGTTAAAATGTGATTAACTAAGTAAACATGTAACCACTGAAATTCAGTTATATGAGAGGGAGGGGGACATTTGACTCCCCAGAAACCAGGCATGAGAAGAGCCAGCTCCCACCAGCCTTGTCCCCCTTTCCCGCACTGATACAGAGACAGCAATGAGGAGGGCACCTCCCCGAGAGCCAACTTTTAAGCAAGCTCCCCGCACATACCGGCAGCCAGCATGTAACTATGAAGGTTAACCAATGAGCCCAGATTAATCATGTACTTCTACATCCCTAATAATTATTTGTCTCATTTGTTTTTCTTGTATATAAATGTCAAACAGATTAGATCTGTGAATACATGTTGAGCATATGTAGCCTTGGAAGGATTCAATTTTATTAGCAAGTGTCAGAAAACATCGATTTCATCGTACACATGCAAACGGATAGAAACATATTTCTATTGATTATAATAAAAATGTATGGAGTAAGAAAAATGCTACTTGAAACTTATTAGAGTTTGGTTTAAGGATATTTACATCATATATTTTGATATGTGATGTGACGAGGCATTTGGCTATTTTGTTATAACCCACGCGGGTTCTTTTCTGAGTTATTCGGGGTGTTCCTAACCCCGGGTGGCTCATCCAACCCAATGCTGTCAATGTGACGAACGCTATGTACGTCTCCTTGTTTTCATGGGGATGCAAGCATACCTCATGACAGCAAACAGGAGTGTGTGTAATCATTACAAGATTCCCGAAAGGGGGGAGGGTAGACAGCTGGATAAAGAAAAGTAGGAAAAGGAGAAGAGTCACCGCATGAGGGAGCAGCAGAGTTTTTCCGGAAAAGCACTGATGATTTTACAGTAGATCGTCAGTGCTTTTCCAGAAATTCAAGGGGCCAGTGTAGACAGCTGGCAAGTTATTGCAGAAAACCGGCTGATTTTCCAGAATAAGTGGCCAGTGCAGACACAGCCATCTGTGTTTTAATGGTTACAAATTTTAATTTTTTGAATCTCAATATCTACTTCCATTAAATAATTATTCCTTGGCAAGCCCCCCATAATTTCCTACACCTGTAAACAACAGAAAAAAATGCTTAAAATAAACATTGATAAAATCCTTTAAATTCTGCCATGCCTAAGTATATGTATGTATGTCTTTAATAACAAATTAATGCGTCAGAGGAGTGAAAACTGATTTTGAAATTCACAGATGCCTTATATGAATCAGTCATTTGTAAGTATTGTCAAAATCTGGATTCATGTATTTATTCCCCACCCCTGCCCAAAACTGAGCTGAGCTCTTTGCGTACTGGCAGGGGACGGAGAGGAGAATAAGACACTGAACAGATCACAGGGGAATAATATTTTATTTTGGGCTAATATTAGTTCTCAAGCAAAGACTTGGTTTAATTTTCTATTGGCTGCCCTTCCCGCCCCAACAACCTGGCATAGGGGAGATGGGTATCATAATGTATGAAACAGAAAAAATCATTTTTATGACTACAGTTCTAAATCTAATCTACTTTTGTACAAAGACGTGGTTATTTCTACTCTGTTCCAGATGTTTAAACTCCTCAAACAAAAACAAACAGTCCACTATATATAAGGCAGCGAAAAGAAAACAAACACAACATATCACAGTATTCTAAGCAATGAGGTGACTTCTACAGCATACAAATCACTGAACTAAAACACATACAGTAGAGCCCTGTTTGTTCAGAGAGGATGAACATTGAAATTTATCTGGATGAACAAAGGGAGAAACTAGGTAATTTGTAATGAGGAGTTTTCTGGGGAGGTAGTTCAGCTAAGCATTTCATTACTCTTTTTAATGAAATGACTAGCTGATAACCTGGTTAATCTGTGACAGTATAATTCTGCCTTCTTTCAGTTTCTACTCTCCTTTGAAGACAAACATTTACTGTTTCTCAATCACTGTGAACTAGAGAGGTTTTACACAATGTGGATTAAATCTTTCTTGGAATGTTAGTTCTTTCTCCTTTCTTGACTACACAGGAAAAGCTTACAACATGCACATTGGCTGTGCTTGTAGAATAGCTATTAGCAATTTTCTTGATGCAAAGATAATTTTTAAACTCTCCTTTTAATTGCTCTTCATCTTTTTCCTTTGAATGCTCCACATGCTTACTTGAGTAATCTCAGTGCTTGTGATAGGTTTTCAACTGCATATAGGAAGTGCTGCTGCTAAAGGCAGTACGGGGCTTCACTTCAGATATACTAACTAACCCCTGGATACACGCTAACAGAAGGAAAAAAGCTCTCTCATTCCGTAACTGCAAATTCCACATCAATAACCGAACTGCACTAACTTCTACCTCTCAGTCTCAATGAATGGCCTCTGCATCTGAATACTAAATCCAAAGTCTGTCTTTCACATAAACCACAAGGGATAAGAATCATTTCCACTTCCAGGACAGTTTTTTCTGTTGAGTAGAAGTGGGCAGGTTTTATTTACACTCCTCCTTCCTCCTATGCCACTAACATGCAATCTATGCCTCCACCTGACCAAATGTTGATTTTCAGATAAGCTACTTTGCTTTCAATGAAGACTACCTACACACATTCATAAGAACAGAAAGGTATTTAGCACTTACATGGCACTTTTCTCTCACAGAGCTTAATCGCTTTCTAAGCATTAACCGAGGCACAGAGTAGCTATTGTGCTTAAAAATTAGCCTCCTAGCTTACTTCTCAGGAGGTGCCAGCCCTATGTCCACAAGTCCTAATTCAGCCTGAAAGCCACTGGGAATTAAGGAACATTTATTATGCCCATTTATCCTTTACAATGAAGGGCACAGAAGAATAGCCTAGATCACACAGTGAGCCAAAGCAGAGTTGGGAATAGAACCCCAGAGTTATAACTCCTAATCCCATACTTTTAACAACTGTCTTCTAGGCCATTATGCTGCATGCTAGGGAGAGTATAGTGCTGTCTGGGGTAAGGAGCAGAGAGGAAAGAAGGCAGAGTTAGGGGAGAGAGGAAGAGCTACAGTGCTCCCTGACTCTGGCTGCATCTACTCTTACAGTGGTGGGTAGACTACAGGCACGATGCACATACCTTGCAAGGCTCTAGCTGCAGGGAAAGGGTCCAGAAGTAGGGAACACTTTGGCAGCAGGGAGGCAGTGGGCAAAGGCTCAGCAAGGTGCTAGTGCCTTTTCCCACTGTCTCTGTCTGGTCAGAGCCTTTCCTCACTGCTGGATGCTTTATCTGCCGTGTGGAAAGACTCTGGCAGCAGACATGACACTGCTAAACATAGCAGTATAGACATGACAGGCACTGTCTGCCTCGGAGAGAGCCACACTGGTGCTTTGGGCCGGGCCTCACATGTGAGAAGGCTGGACTTGTCTGAGCTGTGCCTCACTGTCTACACACTATTCATACACATGCTAGCTGGGCATGCAGTATCTGAATAGCCTACACACTGCTCTACGTGCACATGTAGCCTTTGAGATATAAATGCATTGGAGTGCTGCTATTGCTCTGCAACATCTTCCTAAAAGAGCAGCCCCTACATACCACTCACTTCCGACTAAATAGCAGGAAAATAACAGACTTTCCAAATGCTTAAGTATTGCACAGGAGCAGGGATGAGATCACCAAAACCAACTAGTGACACAGGAAAGGGAGGGGTGTTGCCATGGCTCCACAGTGAATAATCAATGCATCTTAAATACAGATAGCAACACT